AAGATTTGTTGTGATTATATAACAGTGGTAGCAACAATGATATACCACCATGGTCATATTTTAACCATATAACGTCATGGGAGAATTAATGCATCTTCACAAAGCAGGTTAATATAATCCAGAACAACAAAATCTAAAACATCTTAATCATAAACAGATGGTTATTGCACAGTGTCACTAAAGAGCAAAGTTAAGGTTATCTGGAGGTCCTAATGGTGCATTTCCACACTTCAAATTGATCTGATTTATTTTCAATTGAACTTTAACTCTGAAGTTCTTGGTTTGTAAAACTTGGATTTGGAAACATTATTTTAAATATTCTATACATTACTGACATATACTCCCAATCTTCATCTGGGTTTTTGTATGAAAATTCATTGAAGATCCAATTCTGAACCCCTTACTGATAATTTCTACAAGGTATTTTCAGGCTGCATAGTTCCCTGCCTTCACTGTATATTTTTCAGATTGCCCAGGGACACTTGCTTCCTTTCTCAGCAGAGACTGATAGCCAAAATGTAAGGCACAATACAGTTTTTTTTCTAAATAAGCCTGCTTTATTCTTAAGGTACAAAGCACTACAGTGGAAACATTAAAAATCTACATACCTGCTAATAAACTTACTCGTTATCATCTCACCCTATGGGTTTTGTTTTGCTGTTACAAGTTCATCATAGCTTTAGCTCATAATAAGCACACAATCTTATGAGGCCTCAGTACGACTGATCCTTCCAATCTTCTCCTAAGGCTTGAGGTCTTCTGTGGACCAGGGTCCTGGTCTGTTTGCTGCCCTGTGTCATCTTAAACCCGGGCTTTTTATCCAAAAGTCTTTTCTTTGCTGGTCTCTGGAGAATCCAGTTTGAGCACGTATATGCACATCTCCTCAGGGGATGCTTCAAAGCCTGATAAGGAAGGAAGTTCATTAGCATGTTCCCTCCCTACTAGAGAAGGTGCATACAGTGTCACAACCCCACATAGACAATTGCATTTTTAATATGATGCACCCAAATGCATTAACCCTAATTCAATAAGGTTTAGCTTCATTCAATGAAATTTGTCTTAATTCTATAAGGTTTCTTTAGGATCTTGTCAATCTGTCATGATACTTAAACTACTTAAACACACAAGTGGTTCTATTGAGGGGTGTGGGAATCAGGCCTTCAATATTTTTCAAGATTTCTTCATCAGATTGAAGGGAAAGGGAAACACAATTCCCTTTTAACATTTAGAAATTGAAAAGTTCTACACTAAGTTGTATTGGTTCAGTTAATTGAAATGCCACTGAAATAATCTTAGGCACTAAGGGTATGTCTACACAACAGGGCTAAAGTAGGAACAAGCTACGCAATTTTAGCTACGTCAGTTGTGTAGCTGAAGTCGAAATAGCTTAATTCAACTTTTGGTGCTGTCTACACAGCAGGAAGAATACTCTTCCTTCTATTTCCCTTACTCCTCGTGAAATAAGGGTTACCATGTAACCCTAAGTAAGAAGTCCTCCAGCTTAACATTATTTTAAAATAAAGGCTTGTAGTGTAGACATGCACTATGTTATTTTGGAATAACATTAGTTATTCTGAAATAACACTGCTGTGTAGACGTAATATAAGAGAGGGATAATTTCTCTGCAATATTTTCCCCTTTTAATACTTCATATAGAGGAAGGTCCTGCCAGAGCTTGTTCTCACTGGGAAGTAAAAAACGTTTAATGTAAAGCCTTTTGTGCCATAATCAAGGGCATACCAGTATATATTCTAATCTTGGGAAATCAAGGAGGCATAAGGGAGGCATAAGGGATCGATCGAAAAAGGCTTTTTTTCCTCGACAGATCCCCCTCTAGACTGCCACTTTTTGCCAACAAAGTGCTGAGTCGGCAAAACGCGGTGGCCATTTTTATGCAAATTAGGCATGGGATATTTAAATCCTTGCCTCATTTGCAGTGTCGACCTGCCTAATCTGCATCCCTCTGCCGACAGAAATCTTTTGCTGGTTGATTTTTTACTAACTGCAGCTCAGAATATAAAATAATTCTTATTTTTCTTTGATGGCATCTAAAATCTGGTACATACTAATAACGAAGAAACTAAAGTGTGTAAGAATAATCTTAAACGCTCTGCCGTGGTACCTCAACTCTTATGTGAAAGACCTTTATGCCCAGTGGCATTATTTGCTCCTTTCTTGGCCTATGTATCAGGTGCAGCTAAACTTTCTGCAGTACTCATCCAAGCAGCTACAACTGCCAAATCAGGGGTCAGCAACTTTTTCAAACCAAAGAGCCAAACTGCATCAATATTCAGAACAAGTGGTCAACAAAGAGCCAGTATAAGAATGCCCGTTTGTATGACTGAAAATATACAACTTAATATTACTAATAATTGACATGGTGATTAATAATAGAATAAATGAAACATTGTACTCAAAGGACTTTTATTTAATGGAACTTCTGCTGCTACATCTTTTCACGCATTTCTTTGAAGTTTACATCAGAACTGGTCAAATTTAGCTTCATGCACACGTTCAGGCTGTTTTCTGTCAATCTTGAGTGCAAATTACCTTTGATGTGATTCAAATGAAAGAAAGCCTGCTCACACATATAGGAGGAGCAAAACATTGAAAGTAAGGCCAAGCTGACATTTTGCATGGTGTTATATGTGACAGGAAGTTCCTTCCAAATTTGCAAAGTCAGATTATCATTGTGCTCCAATTTCTTCATGTCAGCCCCTTTATGCAGTTTTGCCAATTTTGCATGTTATCGAGCAAGGCATTCTAAATCAGAATTCAGCTTGATGAATTTTTCCACCCAGATATCCAACTCCTTTAAATTTGCTATTTCCATTCCAAATCGCTGACTGAGAGGCCTGGAATGACTATTAAATCCAGTTCTTCAATGGACACTTTATGTGAACAAATCAAACTGAAAAGGGCACTGTGTTTCAAAAGTCAACAAAATGAGATGTGAATGCCATCAGGAGCTCAGAAACAAAACCGGCAAGCTGCTGCAAATCAAGACTGTTGTTTGGATTCTCTCTCTGATACAATTCACAAAACATTTGTAATCTTTCAAATGTGCCAGTCCGCCTGTGTTGATATTTTTGATGAAGACAGTCAATTTTGACTCAAATCCAAACACTGCCTGCTGCAGAGTCAGGATTGTATTTCCTTAAGGTTCAACTCATTCAAATGACCAGTAATGTAGATGAGATAGTAAAACTTGAGATACCAGTCACAGTCTAAAAGCTCGGTGTGTTTGACACCCTTCGTATCCAAAAATGACTTAATTTCATTAATGCAGGTGGCAAAACAAGACAAAACTTTGCCATAAGATAACCAGCGAACATTATGCATTAGTAGCTCGGGGTATTTGGACTCTACTTCCTCAAGCAGTGACTAAAATTGACAGTGATTAAGGGCTTGGGCAAGAATCCAATTGACAAGATGAACAATCAGTCCAATTGCATTTCCGAGTTCATTTCCACAAGATTGCGCACAAAGTGCCCCCGATACACAATGCAATGAAAGTTCAAAAATGGGCAGTTCAGCTGTTCTGACAAGAGTAAGGAAACCCCCATATTTGCTGACCATGCTAGGTACACCGTCCATAAACACAGACACAAGATTATCCAACTGTATTTCTTTCTCGTTTACAAAATTCATCAAAGTTTTAAGGCTGTATTTGTCCCTTGTTTTGATTTTTCATTGGTAATATCTCAATCATGTCTTCATGCGTAGCATTTCAACAAATATATCATCCCAGAATACGCAACTGATTTACATCACATATGTCAGTTGTCTTGTTCAAAGCAAATGAAAAATAAGTAGCTGTACTTAAATTTTGCGTTTATTCCTTGTCGATTTCATGGGCCATTTTCACAGCTCTGTCATCAACTGTTTTTGCCGATAATGGCATGTCTTGAATTTTCTGTAAGATTTTTGTCCTCGTTGTGAAATAGTTAAATAGTCAAATAGTTAATGACCAATTTTTGGCATTTGTCTCTTCACGTAATCCCTGTCAGAGAAAGGTTTCCCCTTGAGAATAATGCTGTGCAAGCCCGCAAAACTTGCGGAGTTTAAGCTCCCACCTTTTTTTGACCATGCCAGGAGCTACTTTGTCCAATGTTCATTATAGCTCCTCACAGGCTTTTTTTTCGTGTGACATCCTTGGGGTATTTTGTAGCAAATGCTGCATGTTTTGTCATGAAATTCTTTTTCTTTTTGTAGAACAGTTTGTCTCTACAAATGAGACGGTGTGGAGATCCAGACCTAGCATATAAATCTATCCACTCCTTTTGAAAATTTCAGTACTCATCATCTCTTCCATTCTCTTCCTTATTTTTACTGTTGTGGGTTCACCATTACTTATGATGATGGAAGGATTTCTTGACCAATCAAATGAAAAAAGAATACGCATGACACCCAATGAGTGGAGAGGATGGATGCTTGTTAAAATGAACAGTTAAAGGTGAAATAGAACCCCCAAAATCATCTTGACATGATTAATTACATGTTTTAAAATTTTGAATTCATTCTAATTTAAAAAGTTGAGTTTATACTGGGAATGACAAAAGAGCCCTATTTGGCTCTAGAGCCCTAGCTTACAGATTCCTGCCCACACACTACCAGCTGCATTGAACTGACACTGCTTCTGCCCCTACAGGACACTTAAAATTGAGACGGTCGCAGCAGTCTAGACACAAGTTACCAGTAGTGGCTCCCTGGCTCCACTACTGCCAGGGGTACAAACAGCAGCTCTAGCTGGACTCGAACCCACAGGTACTGAATAGCAGCCCGCTAACCTAGAGCAGGGCTCCGTGCCCTTCCTTTAACCCCTCCCTCTCCCTCTCGATCAGACGCTTGGGATGGATGGATGGGGAGAGAGAGCGAGACAGTGTAGCGCATGCGCATCTTTCACCCATGCATACGCTCCAGGCTGCGTCCGGAGCACGTGACGCCCGCGAGCCGAAGCGCCTGGGTGGCAGCGGGCAAGCGCACACTGCACGGCGCAGAGATCAGGTGGCCCGCGCCGCAGGATGGGAGCCGAGAGGGGACAGCAAGCAGACGCCGGGCGCGCCAGGAGTAAAAGCGCATCACGTGGCGTCAGCATGGCTGGGGCCGAGGAGGAGGTTGCGGCGGGAGCGGCTGCTGAGCGCGTGCAGAGCCGGCGGTTGCCTGTGCGGGGCCTCGTGGGGGAGCCGAGGCCTCCCGCGGATTGCGCCAAGCGCTTCATCTGCTCCTTCCCCGACTGCGAGGCCACGTTCAACAAGGCGTGGAGGCTGAACGCGCACCTGTGCCGGCACACGGGGGAGGTGAGAGGGCGGGGCGGAGCCCGGGGCTGGAAGGCGGCCGTGTCTGGCCGGGCACGTGTCTGCTGCTCTAGCAAGCGCAGGGCAGGAAGGGGGCTTATTTCAGCAGGGCACAGTTGGGAGGTACAGACTTCCCCGACTGCGAGGCCACGTTCAACAAGGCGTGGAGGCTGAACGCGCACCTGTGCCGGCACACGGGGGAGGTGAGAGGGCGGGGCGGAGCCCGGGGCTGGAAGGCGGCCGTGTCTGGCCGGGCACGTGTCTGCTGCTCTAGCAAGCGCAGGGCAGGAAGGGGGCTTATTTCAGCAGGGCACAGTTGGGAGGTACAGATGCACAGGCACGCGGCAGCCGAGGGACATGCCCCAGTATAAAGGGCTTGGGGGCTCTTGCGTCACTTTGCTGGGCCCCGGCAACTTGGAAATCACATTTTCCACTGGAAAAATCTAGTGTCTGCTGCTGTCACAAGCACCTACTGTGACTAGGGATGTAAAATCCTGTTTAATTGGTTAACCAGTTAAAGGTCCTCGGCACACGTGAACTGGGGCTGTTCCAGACACCCAGAGCAGCTGCTTGTCTGTGGCAGGCCCTGTGGGGCCTCCTGTAGACAGGGGCTGCTGCCAACCAGCACTGCTGCTCAGGAGTGGTGAGGCTGGCTGCGGCAGCTGGTGCCCCAGGTGGAAGGTGCGATCAGCACCCCCCGCCTGCAGGACCGTCAATGGCCGTGACGCGCATCGGGTGCCTGGGTGCCCCGGTCCGGCAGCGCCCTAGGTGACCACCTAGTCTGCCTAGGCTCACAGGCCGCCCCTGCTGCTGCTTCTGTATCAGAGGCTGCCATGTGAGGTAGCCGGGGTCTCTCCAAGAGTAGAGTTGAGAGCTGGTTGGCTGCTGGCTCTGCCCCGGGGAGTGGCATCAAGTAACTAAGAAATTTAGTAGTTACATAATTATTATTAAAATATCTGCTTTCTAAGATTCCTAATGGGAACCAGTAAGCATCACCCCTTATGGTGATCCTGACCAGTTAACTTTTCACATCTTTAACTGTGACTGACAAAATTAATAAAAAACCCTCAATTCCCCTCCTTTTTTTTCCACCTCATTTTTATTTGGACGGTTTGGCAACACTGGGTGGCTTCACATTTATTGAGGGTGCATATCCTTCCATAGGTTCTGCAAGAGGAATTGTAACATTAATAATAGTCACAGACAAACATGTGAATTGTGGAAAAAGGGATAATACACTCATATTTGTTCATGACTTTCTAAAATAAAAGAACACAGATGCCACTAAATTACCCTTTAAATTAAAAGGATCTTTTACAAATCCCAGTACAATAAAGGATGCTCTATCAGAAAATTGGTTTTAAAAACATTGTCACTTTAAAAAAAGCTTCAACTTGTGTTATTCTTTAACCTCTCTGTGCTTTAGTCTTCTTGTGTGAAGGTACACTTCACTTCAACCCGGGTCCTTTAACTGACTTTGTACAAATTCCCTCCCCTGTCCTAGTGAAATCATCTGGGGCTCTCTGGGATTGCAGGATTGACAACCTATCTTCAGAACACTTTACAAACATCTGACAATTACTAAAACTCTTTGGGTGAAAGAATCCTATAGAAATAGTACCACACCACATTATAAAGACACTATTTGAAATCTAGTTAATTAAAAGTTGATCTGGGTATTTCAATTGTCTGTCCTACTGCTAGATCTTGTGGCTTAACCAATGAACTTCCCTGTTTTTATTTATTTTTTAAAATGTGTGTTCTTTCCCATGTGGCTTTATGGAAAAACTAGGAAAATAGAGGAAACTGACTTCAATAAAACTGACTAATCTCATAATGCTGACAAGTAAGCAATGTAAACAAATACTGCATTAAGTATTTTTCTCTAATAATTCTGTTAGGCTTTTTGTAACTCTTAATAGTTTAACACTGAGTAAACATGTGCCCTGTGTGCTTTAGTTTTTTCCCTTATAGTTGTTAAATGTGCTGATATATGTAAAAATCACTTGGCTTATTTAGTGTAAGGGCAATTTTTCCTGAAAACTAGTAGTCTCCTTAAAATAACTATTACAGTTTTTAAGCAGTCTCTCTCTCTCTCTCTCTCTCTCTCTCTCTCTCTCTCTGTCAGAGACCATTTGTTTGCAGTTATAAGGGTTGTGGTAAAGGTTTCACCAGAGACTTCCATCTTACCCGCCACTTTCTTACGCACAGTGGAGAAAAACCGTTCGAGTAAGTACTGTGTTTTCTTCAGGCACTGAAAAGGTGATTAACTGCTGTCCTGTAGAAGCAAACTGAAATAGAAATCTTACATTCAGGAAAGCCAAACAAAGTATAACTAGCATGATTTGAAGTGTCATAGAAACTAGCACAAGCTGGCATGCTGGTTCAGACTAGTGGCCATCTTGCCTAGTATCTTGTATCTGGCAATGGTCCATACCAGATGCTTCCGAGGAAGTTGGGGCAGGGAGAAGCTATAGTAGAATACCCTGTCTTCGCACCAAGTAGTTAGTGGTTGGTTTGTGCAATGATGCCTTAGGGTTTATATTCTTTAAACTAGTTTATCTAATCTCAAGTAACAGTTGTGTGTTCTCGGAACTAATGTCAAATCCTCTACTGGAATCCTACCAAGTTCTTGGGCTCTTTTTCATTGGTTTTAATTTTTTTTCCATTTGATTTCCCCTTTTCATTTGAGAAAGTAAATAGGACTGCCTAATTGGTGTTCCATTCACTGTCTTACAGGTGTCTCCCTCTCCTCCCCACCCCCTTCTTTCTAAAATAACTAGTACCAGTCTTTTCATATTCTTTCAGTGGAGTCTTTCATGAGATGGGGTGACCAGAACTGAACAGTGTGGTTTTTTTTTTAAATGACGCTATTTAAACTTTTCAGTGCTACTAAAATCTTGAGGAAATCAATGCATGTTGCCATGTACAAAATATTGTGTTACTATTGTGACGCTATTTAAACTTTTCGGTGCTACTAAAATCTTGAGAAATCAATGCATGTTACCATGTACAAAATATTGTGTTACTATTGTGTGACTAGAGCTGAGTGGAAAATTGTTTTCCTGTCCAATGAAAATTTGAGATAGCCTCTTCCATAAGGAGATGAAACAAAGATGTTTTAAAGTTTTTTCACAAAAATCAGAATGAGACTTTTGCCTGATTTACAGCAGGGACTTGACCCTTAGTCTCCCAAATCCCAAGGGAAACTTTTAATTAAATTTGGTAATGTCCTATGAAAGTTTTAGTTTAGGCAAAATGACATTTTCTGATGACGGAAAAATTTTTGACAATTTTTTCCAACAAGTTCTATTACTAATACACACTGGGGGAGGTAGCTATGTCCGAGGTAGCCAATCATTTTTGACCGGGCCCACTTCAGAAATGTTTGAAGTGGCTCCAGGCTGCTCCGAAGGGGTGGTGCCAGGATACTTACATGCTTCCCTATCCATAGACCCTGATTGGCCCGGAGGTGGGGAAGCATGCAAAATCTTTGTGCCCCTTCTTCCTCCTCCCCCGAAGGAACTGCCAGCTGTTCTAAAGAGCTGGAGGTTTCCTCTAGGTACCAGTGCCCCTGGAGATGGGAGGAGACTTCATGTGCTGCCCCCTGTTGCCCCAGGTCAATCAGGGCTTGAGGAGGAGGAGCACGTGAAGTCTCTTGCTCCCTGCTCCTGCCCTGCAAGGGAGCGCCATGCTTAGTCAACCACTAGCTGACACGTAGCTGGTGGTTGACTTCCAAGTGCCAAGCCCCTTGCAAGGCAGGAGGAGACTTCACACGCTCTCGTTCCCAGGCCAATCAGGACTCGGAGGTGGGGGGACCATGTGAAGTCTCTTCCTGCGCTGCTATGAGCTTGGGGGAGTGGCAGGGCCTCTGTGGGCTGGATCAACTTGCTTGGTAGGTTGGATCTGGCCTACAGAGGCCCTTTTGCCCACCCCTAATCTATGTATTACTCTTAATGAGATCACTGAAACAACTGTATAAATAAGCTAATCAAGTAATTATTTTGCTTTTATTGCAAATGAACCAAAATGGACCGGAAGCAGGGCTGGATGGGGGCAGCAGGGCTGGATGGGAGAAATTGGGAGGAGAAGCAGCGGGAGGGAGGCAAATCAGCTGGCGGGAAGCAGGACTGACTCGGGCACATGAGTGAGTCCAGCCCCGGGGTAGTTGCGAACTGCCTGGCTGGTAAACACACTCATGCAGCGTGAGCACATCTACCAGCCAGGCAGTTCGCAGCTACGGACTGATACACCTAATAATAAAATTTACTGAATTAGAAAATACCGGACATTTTATATTCAAATACGTTGTTTCTGGTCCTCCCAAAGCCTCCAGTGCCAGCTTTAGCAAAGCTTTTGATACAGTCACCCACAATATTCTTGCCAGCAAGTTAAGGAATATGGATTGGATAAATGGACTGCAAGATGGATAGAATGCTGGCTAGACCATGGTTTCCCAAACATTTTACTTTAGTTGGAACCCGGTAACCCTCAAATACCGGACTGTCCGGTACAAAACTGGACACCTGGCAACCCTACCCCTCTTTGCACCCTTCCTCCTAGCCAGATACCCTACCCCAAATCTGCTCCTGCTCCCACCTCCTGGAGTGCCCATGCGGCGCTGGGTACCCCAAGCCCTGGCACAGGCTGAGCGGAGGATGCAGCTGGGTGAAACACTGAAAATTTGTTCATTTTTTAATTCTTTTTTTATATGCGTTTGTTTTTTGCAGCCCAAAAATATAGTACTGAAAAAAAACGGGTTCCAACTAAAGTAAAATGTTTGGGAAACCATGGTCTAGCCAGCATTCTATCCATCTTGCAGTCCATTTATCCAATCCATATTCCTTAACTTGCTGGCAAGAATATTGTGGGTGACTGTATCAAAAGCTTTGCTAAAGCTGGCACTGGAGGCTTTGGGAGGACCAGAAACAACTTATTTGAATATTCATCATTTGCTTAATGAATATGCAAATATGCAAATGAATGTTACTGGTCCTCCAAAAGCTCATGAATGGATTTACTGGTCCCCGTGTCAAAAAATTTGGGAACCCCTGCTTTATAGGATGATTGTAAAGTTTGATTAATGTTTGTGCAATATTTTGAAGACAGTTATGTTAGTGCATCATACATTCATAAAACTATTGAGCATAATGACTTGTATATATGAAGTATTAATCTTGTTGCTTTAGCTTGTTCCCTTCAGTCTCCAGATTATCTGAATGCAGTATTAAGAAAATATAATTTATTTGTAGGTGCATGGCTGATGGTTGCAATCAAAAATTTACAACAAAATCAAACTTGAAGAAGCATATTGAACGTAAGCATGACAATCTACAAAAGCAGTATATAGTAAGTAACTCTTTGCTAGTATATGTTTGGCATTAAACATCCTCCTCTTACTTTAGTTAACCAAATATTTCAGACCCTGTATGTTCAATTGTTGTTATAAAACAGTTGCAGATATGGTACTGAATTTGTACAGATATTAATGTTAGCAAAAATCTGTGGATCAAATTGGCCTCTCTAACCATGGCCAACTTAATTTTCTAAACAGTGTGACTACGAAGGTTGTAGCAAGTCTTTTAGAAAACATCAACAGCTAAAAGTTCATCATTGTCAGCACACCAGCGAACCTTTTTTCAAGTAGGTGAATAATTTTAATAAATTATATCAGGGTGGGCAATAATTCTTGATGGTGACAACTTGAAGAAGAGTAAAGCCCTTGACCACTTACCAAATTCTGTGTTAATGGAAGGAGTGCTGGGTCTGGGATGGAGACTTGTGTGGGGTCTGAGAGGCACTTAAGGTGAAGGAAGGGGATGTGACTAGGGGTAGAGGATGAATGTGTAGGGTCCATGTGGGATTATGGGTGTAGGAGAAGACTGACTTCAGGGAGAGGTACAGAAGGCAATATACTCTCTAATCTTTCCATCCATGTGTGGATTTTGCCATCTATCTACAGAATAAATTTTGTTTTATGCACCAAAGTATGTATGAATATGTATCACCAGAAGAAACACAAACTTAGCTGTGGGTGCTGTGCAAATCAGCTAGGCAGCATTGGAATTTCTCCTGAGCAACTGCACAAACTCACAGCCTATAGGGAACACTGGCAAAAGGTACAGATAGAATTGGGACCAGGGGAAGGTCTGCAGAGGGCATTTGGAGGGTTTGGGTTGTGACCTGGGGCAGGGAGAGATGGGGGAAGAAGAGGTGCCAGGTGTAGGCTCTGGCCAGGAGGCACTTACCCTAGGTAGCTACTGGCCAGGAGCTCAGTGAGACCCTCAGGCACGTTCCCTGCTTGCCATGCTTCCATACGCTGCTCAAAGCTGTCAGCTGCTGGTATATACGCATCTTTACACTGCATGCCCCTGGGGGGAGGGGCGGACTTCATGCACTGCATGGCACAGGCAGCTCCTATTGGGGGTGTTCTGGCTAATGGGAGCTGTGAGGATTGTGCTGGGGACGGGGGAAGCATGCAGAGCCTCCCTTCCCTGGGGCAGGCAGCACAGAGAAGCACATGACCCCAGCATCTGGTTGCTTTGAGCAGCATGTGGGGGCTGTGGGCCATGGGACATTGGTGGCCCAGAGTATTGTGGCAGGCAGGACCCAGCCCACACTCCATATTTTGCCTGTCCCTGCCATCTGTTTAAATATTTCAGAAATGTGTTTGTCAGTTTGTGAGTCCATTTGTTCAAGAACTCCTCCTAAACGAGAAGACCACCAAATTTGGAATGCAGCTTCCTCTTATCCTAACTTAAAAAGAGGTCAGGGTTTGGTCGGCTTCTGCTCTGCTGACTCCTGCCCCCGGTCCTGTCTAGTCCGGGCGCCAAACTGCTCAGTGGGGGTGGCAGCCGCTCCCCAGCCAGAGGGGCTGGGCTTCCTGCAGGCCTTTGAAGTGCCCGCTCCCACCGCCCAGCCCTGAGGTAAGTGGTCTGCCAACGCCTGTCCTGCCAACGCCAGGCTCTCCACGTGGAGCTGTGTGCTCCCACACCAGCCTGGGGGGCAACTGCCCCCCTGACCTCCCTCGCTATGCCTCTGCCACAGAGCCAGGCACCTCCAGTTCCCCCAACCCAATGTCTGGGTCTCACCAGAGCTGTCACCACCACTGCAGCCACACACTTCTCCCTCCAGGCCTGGGGCGCCTGTACAGATCAACTGTTAATGTCCAGACTCGAACATTCAATTTGACAGGCATGTGTGTTGAGGTACCTCCCAGATTTCTCTCGTATACCACCACGGGTTGAGAAACACTGTTCTAGTATACAGTATTAAATGAATAAAATAAAGACATCTTCAGTGTGAATAGATAATGCAGTATGGAAATCATTTGCTTTGATTATGAACTTTTTATATGTAAATGTCTTCCTTTATATTTTTAAGGGATGCTGTTAGATTAACTTCAGGTTTTAGCAGCTTAGTTCTGTTCTACAGACATACATACAAATGCTTATCCCTTCACTTTGATGGTCTATTCTGAGCAACAAATCTGTGTCCCATAACTGAAAGTGTTAGCACACAGAATACTTTGGATTTATTACAACATCATACACTTCTAGGCTACATCTACACTGGCATGATTTTCCGAAAATGCTTATAACGGAAAACTTTTCCGTTAAAAGCATTTTCGGAAAAGCGCATCTAGATTGGCAGGATGCTTTTCTGCAAAAGCACTTTTTTGCGGAAAAGCGTCCGTGGCCAATCTAGATGCACTTTTCCGCAAAAAAGCCCTGATCGCCATTTTCGCGATCTGGGCTTTTTTGCGGAAAACAGTACTATGCTGTCTACACTGGCCCTTTTGCGCAAAAGTCTTTCGGAAAAAGACTTTTGCCCAAACGGGAGCAGCTTAGTTTTTCCGGAAAAGCACTGATGATTTTACATGAGATCGTCAGTGCTTTTCCGGAAATTCAAGTGGCCAGTGTAGACAGCTGGCAAGTTTTTCCAGAAAAGCTGCTGATTTTCCGGGAAAAACTTGCCAGTCTAGACACAGCCCTATAGTTTACTTTTTTCATATAAAGTGTAATCCATAAGTGGAAAAGCACTTTCCATTATGAGGTTGGCTCCCCTGCCTGCTTCCCCATTAGGGAGCAGCTGCTTAATTAACATGAATAAGTGGTGAGCAAAGGTCCGTTAGGGACACAAGTGGTTTCCCTGCTCAGTAGGGATGTGAATGTATACCCATTTACACAATTAACAGATGCCCATGTGAGGGGAGCCAGCTTTTAAGCCAGCTACCTGCGCATGTCAGCTCCTGCGGAGTTGCCTCCTTTCTCCCCCCCCCTTACACTGCTGTCTTTAATGCTCCCCATGAGCGCTGACTTCCACTTGGCCCCCTAGGTATAAATGTGCAACTGCTATAAATTTAATCAGTTACATATTTACAAAAATAAATGCATTTTAACATCCCTACTGAACAGTACTACCTTTGTGGAGCTGTACATCTCAGCAAAACAAAATGTGTTTTTAATTAGTGAAACCAAAATTAGGTCTTATTTCTCTTATAGGAGGAATTTCCTTATGAGTTCCATTTTGTTACTTCTAACCATCTAATAGCATAAGCGTTAGCATGGTCCACTGGCTAGATCATAAGAGTAGGTGACAGGTGTCTGTTGGTTGTCCTCCCTCCCTGCCGTCCATCCTCCTGGCTCTCTGGCACTGACTTGTTGCTATATAGTCTTATGTATTCCCCACCCCCTCCTGTTCATACTTGTTATCCCCATTTAACAGATGGAAAAACTACCTCACTGGGATAATGAGGTTTAACTAAGCTTTTAAAGTCTTGGATGAAACTGGCTATAGAAATAGCAAATGTTTGTTAACTACAACATAAGGTTGCAGTTGTGTAGCACATCAGGCTGATCAGAACTGTACTGTGAAGTGTTCTATTTTATTACAAAAATATAAAATAAAATCTTTAAAATATGCATTTGGCTGCACCATTCTAAATGTTTTTGGCTCATTAGTGTTTTTGCTTTGTTTTGTTTCATTGTTTTAAATGTGTTTAACACCTAGATGTAATCATGAAGGATGTGGAAAACATTTTCCTACTCCAAGTAGACTAAAACGGCATGAGAAGATACATGAAGGTAACCCTCTTGCTTCACGTTGAAATACCACAAAATAGCTTGTTTCTCAGTGTAGCGTGGAGGCTCCAAGATCTACAATCAGATCTAGACATGGCACTCACCTCAGAAACCAAACACTATAAATTGAAACAAAACAGGTTTGACTAATTGTACAGTTGACTAAGGTAATTATAGGGTATTGCAGTATTCAATGTGTAATTTCACTTTTAATGCAAGTGAGAACATTCACAGGCTTGGCAGAATAGCTCCAAGTGTTTTTAGTCCTACTGTTCAAGTTGGTCCTTCCCTGACCATGTTTTCTTTCCCTCTGAGATAATTTTGATATGATTGAGTGGTTAAGGCACTAACCTGGGACTTGGGAGATCTTCAAACTTTCCTGTTTGGACACATACTGCTTGTGTAGCCCTAGGCAAGGCACTGAAGACCCGCTTTTTAATGTTCTTGACAGGCCTAAAAATGCAGATGTGGGATTTTCGATAAGTGCTCAGATGTCTAACTCCCAACTTCTGAAAATAGTATTAGGCAACTGAATACAGTAAAACTCCGAAGGTCCAGCATCTGATGGTCCAGCACCATCAGGAACCCGGAAGTGCTCCGGGCAGCCGGACCATTGGAGCTGCTCTGCCTCCAGCTTCCCTGATTCAGCCCCTGCTAAAACTGACCAGCGGCTGAATCGGGGGTGCCTAGGGCAGAGGCGCT